ATTTTATTTTATAAATTTTGTATTATTTTATATATTTCTCTTAGGGTCACTGGCCTGAGATACATAGAGTTATTTAGCACATTCTGTGTAGTTCGACTATGTGCCATCGGGTTACAATTTCCGCCCATCGAAGCATAGAACCTATTAAAAGTATTTGCTAATGAAATCGAATCTGAATTTAAAGTACTGTTTATTTTTAGTTTAAGGTTATCTTTTTCTTTTATAATATTTTTATTTGTTCTTTCTTTGATTATATGCTACATTGTTTTGATTTTATTATTTGATCTTATTATTTTATTTTTGTATTCTCTTTGATGTAATAACAGCTTTTTTTTTTAGCAATTTTCTATATTTTTTATAATGTTGGATAAATATTTCATTATTTGATTTTTGCGCCAATTCCTTTAGCATCCTCTGGTGTTTGCACGATATCTTCAATCCTATGATTAACCAACGTTTTTATATCTTGGTTTAATTTTAATTTTTTCTTTGGGTATTAACTCATTCAGTAATTATATTACTTTATCATTAAATGTGTTGTATTTATAATTATTATTTTTATTATTTTCCAAATTTTCCGACCGATTGCATGACTTTAATTTGGATTTAAAATTTTGCATATTATTGAAATGATTTTTTTCCGTATACCATATATTTTGTTTGTTTTCCTTATTTATTTCTATATCTATGATTGTGCTCATGTGGTCGGAAAGTCCAAACACTAGTTTTTAGTTGCTGAAATTTGTAAATATTAAATCTAAGCATATTGATATGTTTTTACTTTATAGTTACACGAGTAGGCTTATGTTGATAAAATTGAAATTCTAGCATTAGATTTAAAAATTGTCTTGAATTGTATTTTCTTTTAATATATCAATATTGAAGTCACGTCTTATAATTATATTGTATTTATAATTTTTTTATTGTCTTCCTCTCTTCTGTTCCAATACACATTAATAATTAAAATATTCTCTTCTGGTAGCTCCACTGCACACACTTCTAATACATATTCTATTGACATTTTTGCTATTTCTTCTCTTTCTACATATTTTAGAACATCTCTCAACAAGATACAAGCTCCACCGCCAACGCGGGATTTTCTACGGAATGAAGCAGCTATCTTATAATTTGAAAATTGTATTATCTGTAGTTTTTCAAGCGTTAGCCATGATTCTGTGATGGATATTACTTGAAATTGTGGAAGCTCTATCAAAAATGCTTCTAGTACGTCTTGTTTATTGAAGATGCTCTGTATGTTTTGAAATAATATTTTGAACTGGTTTGTTATGTTTTATATCAGATCGTGATTTGCATATAGGTTTCGTTACAGATTTATCTTCAATATTCGTACTTTGTATATTCTGATTTATGGTAGTACTAACGAAAAAAATGATCGTCATTAGTTATCTCATCTATCGAATCACAATGAATATCCTTTTTAGGTAGCCTAATGCCTTTTAACATCTTCTGTATTTCTTTACTTTGATAATTTTTGATTTTATATTTATAGTCGAGTCGTAATATTTCTTGAAGTATATTTTGGCACAAATGTCTTAAGATATTACTTGGCAGACCTGAGTATGAATAGCGTAAATCTATGTAGTTAATATTCGGCAACTTCGTGCTATGTGACCTAAATACTCTATTTATATTTTCCCTATTATGTTGCTTAATACCAGTTTCGCATAATATAATATTTGTGTTTTTAATTTGACTTAAATAGTAAAAAAAGTAGAAACTCATTGTCGTCAAATCACTATCATTTTTCTCTGTTAGGATCAGTACGTAGTTCTTATTACTGTAGGTTGAGAAATGGAGTTTAATGCCTTCTAGTATTTTGTCCGTCGTACCTCCTGGTTTTATTTCGGCGTATATCTTGTATTTATTTCCAAGTATCTTTGATAATTATGCGGATACGCTTAACGGACAAAGCTTACGGATAATTTAAGGGATTTTTAATTTACGGATAAAGCTTAGTTCTATTAAGGCTCCTCCTGTTTTTTGTTTGGTAGTTTTTTTGAGTCTGATGTACATATTTCAGGCAAAGTTTTTATTTTCTAGGTGTGATATTTTGTTTTTCATTTCCTGTGTATCTTCCTCTAGATCCAGTCTATATTTGGGCAACTACTGTTTAATTTACTGACTGTGATAAAAGAAGAATATTCTCTTCGTCTGATAAATCTTCAAAAGAATTTTCAGTAGAGATTTTTATTTTATACTTATTTGGTTCTGTTACGTAACAGCTCTTGTCATTCTGGTTTGTATCTGATTTAAACAACATCCAGCAGTTTGTACATTTTTTTTTCTTTTTATGATCATTTGTAATAAGGTGAAATCTTTTATCTGTAATATGAGTGCATTCAAGGTGATATCTGTTTTTGCAATTGCTACACGTTAAATAGTGTCTTGTTTATATTAAATATTTACACTTTGTGCATAATAGCGACATCTTGTTCTAATTTCTAAGTTCTAGTCTAGTTGGTTCCTTATTTCCTATTTAGGTATCTCTTCTGCTTAGTGTTCCACAAAATTTCAAAAGTATATAAGATACTTTACTCGATACCAGTATCGTATCAGATTCATCGATACCGAGAATAGAATCGAAACAAAAGTATCAATATTGTTAGGTATCGAGTACTTTTCTATATTTTTTACTTAATTGATAAAAATAAATCTACTAAATAGATACCAATCACGAGAAACTGGCAACACACGACCAAAACATAAGCTATTGTCTATAGAAGGGTAATCCCCTACTCCTACCACTCAAATCTAATGATTTGTCTCAAATTTTGTTAAAAGTATCGAGTACTTATAAAAGTATCGATACCTCAAAAATATCGGAACAAAAGTATCGTAGCCAAATATACTTAGTATATACTTAGTACTCAAGTGTCAGTACTTTTTGCGGATCCCTACTTCTTCTTTCTTTTTTTTCGAACTAAAATAATTCAGTTAAGTGAAATACTTAAATATTTCCACTATCCAACCTGAAGTAGGTTGGAAGGTGGCACATAGATTTCTCACCTTGGTAACTTGGGTGGTGGATGGCTAATGGCTAGGATGGAAGATAGGAATAAGTCAATTTTGCCGCCCCTCATTTCTTGCCACTCTGGACAAATGCTTGCCTCCGATTAGAACGGGCCCTGAGTGTAATTTAAGCCTATTTCAAGTTTGGAGGAATAGCGCAGTCGTGGCCGCTTCAAAAATAACTGAACGGCGCTACGTACGACTTCTTAGAACAGCATTTATTAGATGTCGAGCTTGTATCAGATTTGGTGGCTGACAATTCAAACACCTGTTGTGAAATAAAGATTGATTCATGTACAACTTAACGCTTTTATTATGACAATTTAGTACAAGATAATTTTTTTCTTTCTTTACTCGAATTTAATCTTTATGCATCTTAACGTTAAATAAAATTATGTATTGTACCATTTTGTAAATCTTACTTACTGCGCATATTTTTAAAATAGTTAGCCACTTAGTTCTTCATACTTTGTTTTTCACGAATGGGTCTCAAACTTTGGTCAAAATTATTTTTTTATAAAATTTCATGCTAAAATTGAAGTTTATTTTATTGCAAAAAAGTACAATAGATACTCATACTCTCTACAGCATTTCTGATAGAATAGTCTGTGAGGAATAAGAGAAGGAATTTCTCCTCTATCGTTGATACGATTGACATACATAGGAAAAGCTCCATAGTCAGTGATTGAGGTCAAATTCTTGTTCTGTACGGGATTCGAACTCGCGTTGTGTAGCACTGCCACCAAAAATTTTGCTGTCAAAACGTAGTGGAAATATTTATATTGGTAAGATTGATAGTTAGTTGTATAAATATGGTACCCATATTTCAAATTTCATTGAATTTGAACTAGTAGTTTAAGAAGTATAACTAGTCAAAATTTCTTAATTTTGTCACTCACTGACTGACCGATCATCAAGACTCTAAGGCACTTCTAGCAGACATAGAAGCTTCAAATTTAGAATACAATTAGTGTTTAGCATATAAAAATAAAGGAAAAAAAATATTTTTAATTTCGGTCCAGTTTTTTAGATACACCAACAGCATAAATAATTTGTAATCCCATATAAATTTAAAGAATTACAATGTTACATTTGCGGTGAATGAATCAGTGTACTTGTAAATGTATAATAGGTGTAGATAGGTACGTTTTTGGTATTCAAGAAGTAGAAGGTACCGGAAAGTAAAAAAGTAGGACTATCTTATCTACAAAAAGAAATGAGAAGCCATCAAAAACATAACTTACTTATTAAAAAAAAACCAAGTCTCGCGACTCAGTTCTTCTACCGTAAAAAGTTGTGAGATCCATGTGATACCAAGTCGGTTAATTTATTCAGTCCCTACTTAAGGGTTCTTCTGTTTTAAGTTGTTACGTAATTAGCTAACCTAAAAACATTTTATAGTGACCATATTAATGTTAAAAATCATATATTTTTTTAAATATATAGATTGACTTGACGATCGCACTAAGCAATCTAATTTAATATAATATTTATTACTTATGAGATACATTGTGTTCTCTAACGATGGCTAAGTCAATCTAATTACTTGAGGATTATTTACATGAGGACCTGAAGAACATCCATACATACTACCAAACCGTACTTGTGTTCTATTAACTAAAGTTCAACTAATAGATCATATTTTTATCATCGATACGTCGAGAGGGGATTAATCGATGGGTTAAATTAACTCGTCGTTTAATCAAACTGTAACATAAATGACGGTTGATATTACGAACCTTATAGAGACTTCTAAACCGTAGCTTAAGCCCGAGACTATCAATAAAACACCGTTGGTAAACAGACATATTAAATTTTACCTCTACAATTCACCTACCTATTCACTTAAATAAAATAAGTAAATAGAAGTAAATAAACGTGCGTAAATTTAAATTGTTAGTCTGCAGTGAATTTGGAATGAACTAGCCAGCTGGTTTCACATGAAATAATATATTATTGTTTGTTAACAGATGGGAAGTGAGATACATAATGAAAACTTCTTTTATTAAAGGCTTCTCGATAGCTTTGACCGTGTTTACGGAGCGTTTCATCCTATTCGCGGCAATCGTAACATTCGTCTTGTTGGGTGGTAATATACGAGCCGAAATAACGTTTTCTCTAGTGCAATACTTCAATCTTTTGCAGCTTGTCTGCAACGTACATTTACCCATGGGTCTAGCATTTTTGGCGGAATCATTGGTCTCCGTTCGAAGAATAGAGGTATTTTAAAAAACCGTCTATAAATAAATATATTATTATACTTTTGAAAACTATCTATGGATTTCTTTCCTTTCTTTTTCCAGGAATTCCTCTTGTTGGATGAACTAAAATCACTTAAAGCTAAGGAACTTTCATCTGATTCTAAAGGCCCTATTACTAATGGCGTGGGTAAAGAAAAACAATCGGAGAAGGACAAACCAAATCCAACAGGATTGACACTGACCAACATTAGTGCCAGTTGGTCGCAGAACCCTATCGTAGAGACTTTGAGAAATATAACGTTGAATGTAAAACTCGGAGAATTTGTAGGTGTCGCTGGAGTTGTTGGATCAGGAAAGGTTGGCATTATAAGAATAAAGGCTGAATGAACTTTTATTTATATAAAAGATAACAATTCTTTAGAAAGTAAATAATTTGGGGGAGAATAGTCAGAAATATTTCTTGTTTTACACCAAGTATTAATTTTACTGTTTATTTGCATCAATATTTTTATTTTTATTTTTGCAGTCAAGCCTATTGCAACTAATTCTGGGTGAGTTAGAACCATCGCACGGGACCGTCTCTTTAGGCGGTGCGCGAATATCGTACGCCAGCCAGGAGCCGTGGCTGTTCGTTGCTACCGTGCGTCAGAATATTCTATTTGGACTGCCCTACGATCGCGGGCGTTACAAAAAGGGAATAATGACATTTGCAGTCAAGCCTATTGCAACTAATTCTGAGTGAGTTAGAACCATCGCACGGGACCGTCTCTTTAGGCGGTGCGCGAATATCGTACGCCAGTCAGGAGCCGTGGCTGTTCGTTGCTGCCGTGCGTCAGAATATTCTATTTGGACTACCCTACGATCGCGTGCGTTACAAAAAGGTAATAATGATGTTTGTATTTACTAAGCTGAATGCGGCTGGTGGTGCGTAAATATATTGATTTTAACCCGGTGTGAGTACGGTAGAAAAGGAGTACTGTATGTAATTTCTACACTCTAAAGGAATTTAATGAAATTAGATGGGATGAATGGTTCTTAAAATACAAAAATTAGATGAAAGAATAAAAAAGTATTTGTAATATTTAGAATTTTTTATGTATTTTCCAAACTTCGAAACCTTAAAACAAAAAACTTAAACTTTTTAATCTTATGAGTAAATAAACAAAAATTAAATTTCTTGGTATTTATTCATTACTTTTTATAAAGTCTAATGTTTGGTCTTCAAAAATCTAAACTAAATGTTACATTTAAGTCTTAAAATTAATAAATGTTAGCGTGTAAATCAGCACATACGCTGCAGGAAGGAATTTTGTGCACTGAGCAAATAAACTTGTTGCAGATACGACAGGTGTGGGTAGTTTTCCTATCTTCTCTGGCAGGACATATTTGACACCGTTTCCAGACACCTGGAATTTAGGCGGTTAAGTGGCTCTTTTGACGGTTATTCTGTAAATTTCATAAAAAAAAGTAATGGACATAAAAAATAAACTTATTAGCCTAAATAGTTACAACGACTGTATACATGGGTCATATTTACCTTTTTTGCGTTTGACGACGTCTAATTCCCAGTGGAGGTGCATTTCTACTGAATAGACATAAGAGAGAAAAGTGGTAAGGTATTAAGCTCCAGCTACTGAGAAGCGCGGTTACGTTGCACAATAATTCTTAAAAATACCCGCGTTTAAAAACATTATGAGTCATTATGGACCAACCTGACAGCATTGACTTATATATTACTAGCGTAAGGACCGGGCCGACCGAACAACTAAAACGGACCAGTGCGATGGCCCTAAAATTACAGTTTAGGGCCAACGCGAATCGGTCGACAGTAGTGCGCGCGCAGGACAGATTTGCCTGTCATAAATATGTCTAGTTGCGTGGTAAAAGGGTGCAAAAAATTACTATACAAAAATTAAAATGGAACATGGGATATCGTATCATCGGTTTATGCCGGCGCTGTCGTCGCGCCGCAAGCGAAACGTCGGGGTCACCACTGTGGCCGTGGAAGGAAAAGGGGAGGTCTCCCGCCGGGCAAGGTGTTCTGCCCGGAGAGCGGCCATCGCTCCATGTGATAGTTCGGAGATGTTCTATATATGCTGTTTATGATTGTGTTTCACTTGCGGCGCGACAACAGCGCCGCCACAGGTTATTATCTTTATATTAACTTTTTGATTTTGTTACGTTACCAAGATTAGGCCAGGGTTGGATTCAGACCCTCAAAAATATTGTACATGGAAAATAAAATTATACTATTTAAAAAAATTATATCACGTTTGACGTTTCATGTTCCTTGTTCCCATGTCACGCGTCTAGTTTATCTATACGTTACGTTTTTGATGGTTTTATTTTTATTTCTGTTTTATTTTTGTCTAAAGAACGTAGTGTAAGTTAAATTTTGAATATTGATACCTCATACATTTTATATTCAATAAGGGTAAAACGAAAAGAGTACAAAAGAAACCATGTCTGCTTAATTGAATCTGAAAATCTGATTCATAAAATATTTTGAAATTCTGTTTTCAAATCGATTGCTTCTGGAGCATAGAGTTTTTATCGTGGTAGCCCCTCATTATAGTTGTATTAAGGATACAACATAAATGCATCGATCGAGCGCGGATTGACCAGAAAGGGAGCTAATTCTAATTTCATTAAAAAAACGCGGTACTCATGTACAATACAGAAATTCTTGATATCATAGGGTTAATATTAAAATGTAAAAGGACTCAATAATAATACAAGTCAACCTATATGTAAAATTATGGTATTTCCGCTTAGTATTATTACGATACTATATACAACAAACTATGAAATAATGGAATAATTAAGATATACTTAGAAATCCGACCGTGGTTACTTCGTGTTATGACATGACGTTTCTATTATGATTTATGACAGATGCGCTACTATTCCTTGTATGAAAAAGTTATGAGTAAAATATTTAAATGGGCCTATCCTTCCTTTTGAAATCATTGCCTGACAGTCCCCGGGTTAAATGGATTACCACCCTCGTTTTATTTTATGTCCTTCGTAATTAATCCACATTATTTTTCTTAGCTAAATACTATCCTTCAAAGATTTAATATATTTAAATTACAACAAGTAAATATTTTTCCACTTTAATATATTATCTGACGTCTTCCAAAGTAATTAATGCATAAAAAAGTATTGCAAATAGCTTAATAAATAATATGTCAAATAATGTTATCATTCTGTCATAACGACAGAAATCAAAGTCAATGAAATTAAGATTTTTATGATAAAACTATTGTATGTGGCTAACATAAATAAACAAACATGAAATGAATAATTTTATTGGTGTGTATTTATTAGACGAAGTAAGAAATATAATATTTTGTTAGTATACACAGACACAGTAGATTTTTTTAAATAAATGAATAATATTAGGTCGGGGAAAAGTTTCTTCGTATTTTATATAGAAATTCAAGACATTTTTTTTTCAAAGTTTAAATACATTTAATTATAATATTTGCCATTCTGTGGTGAATGACAGTCACGTTGCTGTAGAAATCTTGGGATTATTAATCAAAAAAATGCGAATAGTAATTTTAACAGTCCGCTTATGATGTTAATCTAACACTTTCCCAAAGAAATCTGAAGAGAAAGAAACAGGTGAAAATCCGAGGGTGCAAGTTCATGATTATATGTTGGATGCATCAACACTCTCCAACCAAGCTCTCTCAATTTTTGTTAAGTGGCCAAATTCAGCCCTCTGTCTATCTTGCTTCTTGCGTGAAATAATTACCTATAATCGCGAAGCGCCCAGGGTGACATACGCAGTCAGGGCTAGCGCGTTGTAGGCGATTGAATGTTAAAGTTTTTTAACGCTGTTTACGTAAATAGTTTTTTGTAAATACTGGTTGAAATAGTTTTTGTTTAGTGTTTAGTATATTTAATTGTAGGATAAAATAGTTGAAAAAGTTTTAATGTAATTTAAAAATTATATAAATTACCTATTTAAAAGTAATGTAAAGTAAAGTTACAACCTATATACGTCCCACTGCTGGACACAGGCCTCCCCTCATTTCTGAGAGGGTTTTTGGGCAAGGAATTGTCCGCCGCGCTGCCCCAATGCGTGTTGGCAAACTTCACATGTCTTTGAAATATTTTCTTTTCTTATCATTTTTTTTCTTTGACATGCAGGTTTACTCACGATGTTTTCCTTCACCGCCGAGCACATGGTAAATCAGCACTTAAAATTGGAATTACTTAACACTTTCATTGATGAAAGTTACAGCGAGTGTTAACCATCTGAACTACCACGGCGCTGATTATTTATTACCTATTTGATCAATTGTAATGGCAAGAAGTTGTTCTTACTATAACTGTTGCGTAGATAGATGCTAAGTGATCAACAAAAGGTTTCAGATATATCATTCTTTAAGTTAGCGATGGATTTTAGTAGGAAGTTATGAAAGGTGAATTTATTTCATTTTTAGGTACTTATAGCAAAAAAGAATTAAGTAATAATTTATCTACAGAAGTAAAACCTGCGTACTTTATTACAAAACTTAGTTGTAATTTACTTCACTATCTAGTTATCTACTTACATATATATACTTGTCTTTTGTAAGTAAAATATTTTAATTTGTATTAAAACAAAATACTGAAAATAAAATTTGTTTACTGACGAGATTTTCAACTAAGAAGAATACGATCACATTTCTGTTAGGAATCGTTTTTCAAGTTTATTTGTTATTTTTACTGAGCCAATCATCGCTATTCTCCACGAATGGCCTTGCAATTTGCATGCGTTGGGCATCGTAGAACATACATATGTGCGAAAATATGGTCAGTCGATCATGGTCAGAATAGGTACTTCACCTAAGTAACTTTGTTAATTAACATTTCGCAAAGTATTTTTTTACCCTTTATTGACAGTCCTTAGTAACCATGGAAAGTTCGCCGTGACGTAGGAAGGCGAAAATATGCAAAGTAATATGGACACTCGCGCACAGGGATAAAGTTATATTTAGCTTGGGTGCGCGATTTATATAATTAATAATAATTATGTATGCTATTAAACGTTGGCAAGCAGTCAACATTAAAGGAGTGCAACTTCTGTATGTAGTACTATTATTCATTCTGCGCCAAAATTGTGTGTGGTCTGGCGTTTTCATGATGACAGACCACTCCTTTTCTGTTGATCAATTTCGGCCGTTTTCTCAATTTCATGTGTAAGTCTCTTTCGTTGTTGGCAGTAGATAACCGAATCGATCGTTTTGCCCGGCGGTAAAAGCTCATAATAAAAGATGCATTTCCAATCCCACCATATACACAGCATTAACTTATTGCGTGTTAATCCGAGTTTTGCTACAGTCTGTGTAGCTTGACTACCTTTTGACCATGATCTTTTTCGCACGTTCTTGTCAAAGGTGATCCATTTCTCATCACCAGTGATCAAACTTTTCAAAAATGGTCTTGTCTCATTACGTTTCAAAAGAGAATCGCAAATGAGTATATGATTCATTAGGTTTCTTTCAGTGAGCTCGTGTGGTACCCAAATATCGGGACTTTTTATATAGCCAGACTTTTAAAATGGGTCAAAACTGTTTTGTAGCTAATCCTAAATTTCTCGAATATGCCGTAACTAATAATGTGCTGATCTTGCCCCACTTTTTCAAAAAATGGCATCGACTTTATCCGTATGAGGACGACCAGAGCGAGTTACATCTTTGACATTAAAATTCTGGACGGAAAACGCTTGAACCAACTTTGTGCTACTCTTACTGACACTGCATTAGGTCCATAAACGTCACATTTTTTATCGCGTATTGAGTCGCCTTTTTCTCTTTTTATACGTAATAAAAATTCGAAATATATCAAATTTCTTCGTTAGATTCACTCATTTTGGCGGACAAAAACAAATGAAAAGTGGCGGGAAAGTGTTCTTTACTTTTTATTTTTCTTTTCTTAATGTCCTATAGGTATTGATATATAAACCAGCCAGATACAACAGTACAACCAAAGATATTTTTTTAATTTTAAACAAACAAAATACTTTCTTATTTCCCCAACCTATTATTATTGTAGCTGCGCTGTCGTCGCACTACAAGCGAAACACACCGAAGCCTAAATCGCGCTATCAACATTCCGAATCATAAACGGTATATATAGAACTTCTCCAAACCGGGGCTGGGCCTTGCCCGGCGGGAGATCGCCCCTTTTCCTTCCACGGCCATATTATATTTAATATTCTACTCGTATATTTAAACTTTTTTTGTTTTATATAATTACTAGCTTACCAGGCAGACGTTGTTCTGTCCTTTTCGACGACCATTTGTCATGTCCTATTAAAAATCCTTAAATTAGCAAAAAAAAAAATTGTGAGTCACTCATGGGCAAAAAAAACTATTCTATCTTTCAAGTTGGACCAAACTGCACACGCTATGCAAATTTGATTAAAACCAGTTAAGTTAGTAAGTTTAGGAGTCCATCGCGGACAAACAACGTGACACGTAATTTATATATATTAAGATTATTGTAAGTTGATAGGCAATGTGTAATTGTCTATAGGTAGTTTCGGCATGTGCATTACTCCGTGATTTTGAGTTGCTGCCGGCTGGTGACGCAACATTGGTGGGTGAACGAGGAATCAGTTTGAGTGGAGGCCAACGTGCCCGTATTGGTCTAGCCCGAGCTTGCTACAGACAGGTATGCTTAAAACAGACTTATTTATAAAAACCATTATTTCATCATTGCAGCCCTTCACAAGTCAACTCCTGAACACAGGCACAAATCATCGTCCTGAGCCACCTGCAGCCATCGACTTCCTGCATGTCTTACCGGGAGGTTTTATTGTCCCTCCATCTAGTAGGGTTGCCAAACACTTCGTATATGGAGAGGATCACTTCTTCCTTCGAGCTATGGCGAGAGCTATGTTCGAGGTTTTACTGAGTGATGTACTTAAACACGAGGATATCCGCTTTAAAACCAGAGTAACCGAAAAATAATTTTAAACTTAAATTTTTTCAATTTTTTAAACATAAAATGATAAAAAATTGTGTGGTAGTGTAATATTATCACCATATGGGTAAATAGTCTGTCTCTACCTTAAAGCGAGAAACAGATTGATCCCACGTAAGCAACGTACGCAATGCAACGCTCCTTCGTTTGTGTTCAAACTTGATCCACGTATGCAACGTACGTTTGGCGTCAGATCAGACACTCTTGTCACTCCTTAGCGGACGCACGAGTGCAAATTTATTCCATATTTTCTGATTCTGAGAATAAATTTAGTAATAATATAGTTTGTCTGATGTTTATAAACGAATATATCCACGCCACAAAGAAAAAGATTTTTCTTTTACGAACCCAATATTTTCGTATCTTATCTTTTTAGTTAGGATTGAAGATATTGGGTTTGGAAAATAGCATACACTAGTAAGAGAACTGAAAAAAGATGATGATCTACTTTATATGTACTTCTATATGTCAAACTTTCGATGTTTTGCAGAAGTAACTTCGTGGATTCGTTTACCTTTACCTTTTAAATAATTACAAGGCGTCGTCGTAATTTGCAACGATCGTACGTGCAAACGATGCGATTTTGTCGCACGACGGGATTAAATATACACATTTCCATAGTGTTATAATTGAAGCATGCAAGTGATCACGCGAGCACAAGAAATGCTTAATAACGATCGTACAATGGGTTTGATCGTAGGATCGCACTATCAAACCTACAAATATCTTTTGAGTGTTAGGACACTACACAACCAATTAGGATTGGTTTCGGGTCATTGCGCGAACGCAGCAACGCAAGGGCACTGACCAGTCGAGTTAGAGATGACTAGAGACCTAAGAGATTTAAAAAAAAACTGCATCTCTGTAAACAGCCATTGTTGATATGGCGCCGTTGCGTTGACGGCGCGGCGGCAACGCGTCGTCGTGCGATGGGTATCACGCGAGCTATTAGGACTCCTGTTGGACCATTGCACGATCATTTTCATCGTACTATGAAATCGCATCATTTAATCGTACGATCGATAGCCAATTAGGATAAAGCCTCACATTTAACAGTATTATCAAATTTTCTTAAGTCGGAGTTTTGGGCGTTTGGGAAGTAATTCTGTTAAAATGTATGATTTATATTGCAAACAAGTACATGAGTATGCACAATACTATTTGGTATTTCTGTAATATATTAAATCATGTCTCATATCTGCGCCAGTACTTATTAGTTTGTGCTCATATCTAATCGTAACGGAGCTCGCTGGGATAAAAAAACTACATTTTACTTTTAACGATATTAAACACATTTAATATCATAAAAACATTGGAATACCAATGTTTTTCCTTTCTAAATTGATGAGCTGTTTATCTCCCACTTAGACAACAAAACGCACTATGCACGCATTTTTTCTATTGCAAAGGTTTATTTGCTTAAGACGTGCTACGCATAAGTTCTAGGAGCACACTAGTCATACCTCGAACATCCCTTCCACCTTGAACTGGATATCGCAGTTCGACGTTGCGTCGGATGCGTGTGATTGCGTTGCATGCGTTATTTCTAATGCGGTGTTTATAATGCACAGTTTTTCATACAAAATCAAGAGTCCAGTCGTCATAACGCGTTGCATATGTTGCGTACGTGGGACCAGTCTGTCCCTGCCATAAACATTTCACCTTTGTAAAATGTCAATCGTCAATTTATGAGTTCATTATTACTTTTTAGCTAACTCTTTAACCTTAGAGTAATTACGTTCATACTTATGCTACTAATTTTGCTCTTGAGTCTTCAACACACTCTAGGACGTCAGAATGTTTGTATAAAAATAATTGAAATCGGTTTACATATTAGTTTTATGTATAAAGCAAAAAAATAAAAAAGAGCTTTAAAAATATTTCGGTATGTACCAAATTCAAAATTGCAACAATTTAGCAAAATACAAAAGCGTATCATTTCTGCTACCTATTCCGGCATTCACTTCACCGCACTTCAGTATTTACAGACCTAGTTTTTTCTATGACGTATGCTAAGTGGCGCTGCCGAAGTAGAGTTGACGCTCGCTTTGATATAATATTTTCCTGGTTGTATTTTTTTGAAAATGCACAGTTAGATGTAGGTATTCTATTTTCACGACTAACAACGTACCACATGTATTGTCGCTACTGAAGTGAAGTTGCGGAAGAAAATATTTGGAAGGAAAAAGTGGGGCTCTGCTTTTGCTTTCCTTATTATACAAATGTTATTCAAACGCTACTCACAAAATTGTATATCGCATGTAACAGATATAGATAAATGATAACTCTCAAAAAGAAATGATTGTTTCTTTAATTTTTTTATAGGCAGATCTATATCTTTTGGACGACCCGTTATCAGCCGTAGACACTCACGTGGGCAAACATCTAATATCCGAGTGCATCACCGGCTTCCTTAGGAACACGACACGCATCCTAGTAACACATCAGCTGCATCATCTCAAGGCAGCCGACAATGTCATAATTCTACGAAATGTGAGTCTCTAAAATATTATCTATTATTAAATGTTATTAAATTATTATTTTTATTTTAAGTATTGATCAAGCTAGTCAGTTTATATTGTATTAGGAGTAGTCGGTAATTAAATTAGTTCGATCGTATGGCGTATTGCGGGTGTGTCATAAGATAGAGACTATTACATCGTTTGATACCGTAGTGTGATTGTAATGTTTACATATATAAAACCATTGTAACCACACCGCTATATCAATATCACTGTTTAAAGAGCTAACAGTTATGAAATGCCTATGTAGACAAGCGATACAGCCGCCCGCGTAGATATTTTCTATTTACGCAGTCGTCTCAAAAATTCTAGGGGTTGTAAAATAATTTTGGATATTATTAAACTGACTACCATTTATTAACATTTTGAACATACTTGTAAGTTTAAAACATTTACAAGGAAAAATACACTTACAGGTGTGGCACAGTTAAATATTTTAGTGACACTTTCTTTTTGTAGGTGTTTTCAAATTTTTTGACTTATATAATTACAAAAAAATAATTACGTAGTTTATTCGCATTCGGATAATCAATTTTATCAAAAAAAAAATGAGGCATGGCCAGGCCAGGTCTTAAAATCGAAAAGCCGGACAGACCATAGAGCTAAGCCGGACATTTTAGTAAAAAAGCCGGACATCCTTAAGGCGATACCCCGACCAAAACCTCGCGATAGTGCGTTAGAGACTATTATCTCATTAGTTATGAGAAATAAACTACATCTAAAAGCACATTATTAATGTTCGATATACTATCATGACATTCCACGTATTTGTTTTTATGTATTATAAATACTTTTAAAATCAACTTTTAAAAAATGACTAAAATTATTGGTTAGATGCATCTGTTGCTAAAGACAAGCTCTAATCATTTTAAGCATTACACTAATGGATATATAATTTAAAAATCTATATTTTTCACGTTTTATTTAATTTCTTATTAATTTTTATTTTTAATTATTTAAGTTCGTTTTTCTTTTTTAATTGAGATAATTCCAAAATTTGGGCGTATTTTTTACGTGATATATTGTAGAGCGAGAGGGCGTGGATTGTATAGGACCGAACGCTCAAGGTTGTTCGCAGGGAGTAACGCCTTAATTTTATAGTCTTAGTATAACATGACAATTTTTATAGTAAAACAATGCATTTTATTATTTATTATAATATCTTCTTAAATTCTAATGAAACAACAATAAAATTCAATAAATCATTCTTTTTTTTTTGATTTAATTACAATATTAATTTCAGTAATTGCTATAGTATGTTTGTAAGTACATAAAGAAATGTAAAGGAATGGTCAAATTGAAAAAGTCCAACAAAAGCCTGACACCGTCTAATTTGGCCGAACACGCAACCACAAAGCCTGACTATGTCCGGGACGCCTGGCAACGCTAGGCATGTTCATCGTTTCAGTTCAACTTTGCATAGTAACTAATAACTATAACAGTAATTCACCATTATAGATATTATATTTTTCGAAAACAGCACTTAAAATTAGTTAAGTAAGTACTATGTGTAATTGAAATATAAAATAATCAAAACAAAATGTTATAATTACATAAATTAACCAACTCCTTTATTTTCTTAGACCTGCTTGAATAATAACTATCTACATGCGCTTAGGTACATACACTTAACCATCTACTAAATAAATGACAATATTAAACTTTAAATAAACTTAAAATACTATCAGTACTATAAATAAATCCAATTAGTACTAAATTTTAAAATATTTAAATTAGTTGAAAATAAAATATGTTTAAAATTATGTTAAATTAGTTTTTACGGACGAATTTCAATAGAGAGAATAATTTATTACATTATAATTTTAAACACATTTAAAATAATGATTTTTTCTAGTAATATATGTATAGTCAATATCTCATACAGATTCCATATTGCACATAACTTTACATAGGACACAGTCACGACTGGAAATACATACAAACGAAGAACATGAAGTATTTTCGCTTTCAAGGAATTCGTTCTCCTAATTTCATGGAACTATTCCTGAAGTATAATTGTAAATAACCGATTATAATTATTAAAAAAATGTTAGAAAAGAATCATTAAAATCGGTACACGATTGAAGAAGATATGGAGCGACAGGGGGGGGGGCGGCGGGGTTTTTTCTTTTTTTTTTTTTTTTTTTTTTTAGTGTTCTTTTTTTATATATTTTAATACTACAATATTTTTTTAGGGGGGGGGGGGGGGGGGGTTTTTTTCGTTTTGTTCCCTCCCGCTATGCAATATAAAAAAAACATTTCTCCTCCTTTCGAGAAAAATAAACACGTAAAATTCAACAAAATTGGAACTCCCTTGCCTAATGTCACTTTACTATTTATAAGTTTAAAGTTTTTATTTTTTACGGTGCTATACGTGCGTTAGTAAATATAAAAACACATTTCGGAGCACATTATTTACTAGTTCCAGAAAGGCTCAAGCATGTCAATTCAGACATGAGACATTTAGCTTCTAGTGTTATACCTCACAGTTGGTTAATTATATTTTCATCTCCGGTGCGCACATTCTACCTAAGAAGTGCCTTGTCGCAAGCTGTAAAATCTTTCAAGTTACAAGTTGAAGTTACAGCCTAAATATGTCCCGGGCACAGGCCCTCCTCTGATTACCGCACGTGTCCGCCGCGCCACCCCAATGCGTGTTAGCGAATTTCACATGTCTTAGAAATATTTTGTTATTTTTTCTTATTTCTCTGACATGCAGGTTTCCTCACTATGTTTTCCTTCACCGCCAAGCTCTTGGCAAATCAGCACTTTAAATTGCAATTGACAATTTCGTTTGTGCCGATGTGGATCGAACCCAGGTTGTTCCGCGTACTGTGAAATGTACAGCGGCATCTTTACCACTTCACTTGAATGACAAAGATATAAAGTTTGGCGTGCTGGGACAGTATTTCATGCTGGCACACCGCTTGCAACTTTACAAGTTGCAGGTGCCTCACATGGAATACTGTTCCTATCTCCAGGCGGAGGCCCCCCGGTGCCAGCTCCTTTCATTTGATCGCATCCAACGCAGAGTGTTCGACTCATCCGATCTCCTTTTGATCGGCTTGACTCACTGGCGCTGTGAAGAGATGTTGCATCTCTTTGCGTATTTTATCGTGTCTACCACGGCGAATACCCAAGGGAGTTGCTTGGACTTATTCCAGCCGCTTAATTTTACTATCGCTCATCGCGACTAAACTTGAGTTAACATCCATACCACCTGGATGATTGGCGGTCCACCACTGCGTGGTTTACAATAAGTTTTCTTCCTCGCACAACATCCTTGTGGAATCAACTACCACTAAGACAACAACGACTTTGGAATTTTCAAGAAAGTAGTTTGTAGTTTATCTGTAATAAGTTGTAAATATGGAAAATCATAGTATCAAACAGATCGTAAGACTAATTACATTGGTAACTTACACAATTCTATGTTCATGTTTGTTATGTCAACAAGCTTTAAAAAAGATAAGTTTTATTCATGGCATTCTAGGATATAGCCCAATTATTTATTTTGCTGTTACATGCGGGGTGAGTAAAAATGCCGATTAGGATGAAAATGGATGTATTTTTCCACATACACATAATCATCACCATCATCATCATCATCAGCCTGCGGCAGTCCACTGCTGGACATAGGCCTCTCCCAAGGCGCACCACTTAGCCCGATCTTCGGCTATACGCATCCAGTTTCTACCAGCCACCTTGCGCAGATCGTCGCTCCATCTGGTCAGGGGGCGTCCCACACTACGTTTGCCTAGACGCGGTCTCCACTCCATAACATGTCTACTCCACCGGTTGTCACCTCTGCAAGTAAAAATAAATAAATAAATATCTCTCTCTCACATACACAGCAAGTTTATAATTACCTTGTACAAAATCGCCAAGCTTCTTCGGTGAGGTCCTTAAGTCGGTCGTAAGTCCAAAGCTCGTAGTCACTTCTCGAAGTAGAGTTCACTTCCGCATTCCCGAAATAACTAAGACGCTTTTATATTCGATAAAATGAATTAAGAACTTTCTAAGGCAATCGACTCTTTCGACCGAAAAGTACTAGAACACTCGCGATAACTCAGTGATAAGAATATCCAAAAGAGAGAAGGTTTTATATAAGTAGACATCAGGTTGCTTCTTGCTTGCATTAATAGTCCGAGTAGTACCTATTTTTATACCCATGCATTTTATTTCTTGACCAATGCCCCCGTTACCTATCGCCGGGAACATTCTCGTGCAATGTGACGTAATACGCATCTAGCTGTTGTAACATTACTATCACCAGATCACCACAGAGTATATAAAATCACTACGTATATATAATACTCTTCTATCTTCTACTAACTATTACAAAACTCTAAGGCAGTTCAGACAAAATCCTCGATAGAGAGTAATTGTGTGGACACAATTTATTTTTGTATGGAGAATGGGCCCTCTACAAAATTTAAGGATTCTTAATGAAATGCATGTCGATTTATTCCTTATAATCTATAGTTTACAATAATATTATTACTTTTCTGCATCTAAACGGAGTATTGAGAAATGAACAATTAAAATAAGAATTTAACAATAACCTAAAAACAAACTGAAAACAATTTTCTAGTAACTTTCACCGGTATTTTAAATTCAAATAGTGCACAGTTGAATAATTATAGTACATATTAAAAAAGTTGTAGGTATATTCAGCATTTATAGGCACTAACGATCAAAAATCTTTTCACAAATTCCGGCAAAACATAGTGCCTGTCTGTGCTTAAATGTCGTATGGATTCTATTTTTGACATGTATTGATTGATTGTGAGTGTAAATTCCAAATACTAAGATGGCTATGGATATGGATAATATGTCCACTTATATTTATAATATTACCAAAACATGATATGAAATATGTTTTAAACTGGTCGTATTACAAAAAACAAAATATAATGTATGTGACTCTATTTATTATTATAAATCATAATTTATTTAAGTAATCTACGACTATTAATAGTAGTAGGTACAGAAACAGAAACCTTTTATTCAATTTAGATTACAAATAATATTTATTGAAAGTCACTTTTTTAATTTACCACTGGTTCGGAAAAAAACCTCTGTCTTGAAGAGAACCAGCAAAATACCCAGTGGGACTGTAAAAAAAATAACAGCCTACCATCATGTATGTTATAATTAACAACACAGAACAAATAAGAAATAACTTGGTAGCGATAACTTTACCCACGGGGTATTATCATCCATAAATTCCTTTATATTATAATAACCCATTTTATACAAACTTAGTTTAACAAATTTTTTGAATTTTGATGATTGACTGAAATAGGCAGACAGGAGCGGTATCAAGACTTTGTTTTAATGTGTTTTGGCTGATTAGTAAGTACTTATACATCATAATAAAATGACTGGCAATTAACATGCTTATCTATGTTATTACACAATGATAAATAGTGAGGAAGTAAGATATTTTAAACTGTTTGTGTAAGGATTACAAAAACACAGGCATAATTTAAATGTATTTATTACTACAGCACTGGTGATTTATGGATCCCGACAACAGTGCCATCTACCGGGTCCAAATGTAAATATAAACCATCTAGAAATCCATTTGAACACACACAAACATTTTCATTAAAATTGGTTGGATGGTTTCTTATGTTTTGTTTATAACGGACATAGGTGGAAACATTTTAGTGTTAGATACATTTCTGAAGGTTTTTTGAAAATAACTTGATTTCAAAGTAACGAGTAACAAATAACGAGTAACATGTGCATTTATAATATGGTAAGCAATCAGGAGGGCATTTTCAATGATAAGAGATATGATATAAGACTGTTGTCTTCAATATCCGTACACTTTTTGTCTTTGAAAGCTTTCAGCCTGCAAGGCATACAGATTTTGATTTCTTAAATTTACGCGAACACTACACATTGTAAAATATTTTTTTTTTTTTCGTTTCGGGGGGGTTTTTTTTTTTTTAATTTATGGGGGGCTCTGAATTGGGTATTGTCCCGGCCATGGGGGGGAAACTGGGTTATTTTGTTGGATTCCTAATTAGTTGCAACGAGTTGTAAGCGATCCACCTGAAAAAAAGTTAATGAATATTGTAAAGGTGTCTTAACTAAATAATAATTCTTATCAATATATTATTTTTTATATATTTATATAGGAATCAAAAGGACATTTTTATTAACAAGAGATATGAGATAAGACTATGCCTGCAATGTCAATAAACTGTATTTACATATTTCTGTCAACATTTTCTTGTCTTCTCATCTGCCTGTTCATATGTTAAATAAAAAAGAAATTATAAATTATACAGCATTAATCAGCTCCAGCTGATCAAATACAGAAGCAGTAATTACTGATTAATATCAACGATATTCGACTATGTAAAAGTTGTCTCACATTTCATTTTCACTGGTTTCATGCATCTGATTCTAGATGACAAAATTGTATTCCTATCTGCAGAGTGAACAACGCAACTGTCTAAGCTCGATCCAGTCGACCCAAGCGTCGCAGGCACATCACACAACGACACTACACCCACACTAAATGGGACAAACACTAACAGGACAACGAATGGGACGCGTCGCACCCGCAGACGGGCACGACGCGTTCCAGCTCACACCGCGTACACACCGTACACCCGCGTTCCTGGACGGTTCTCACCGCCCAGACCATCGACCGATACGAGCTGAGCAGTCAGAGACGGAGGTCCGCACTCCCCCCTCGGACTGCGATAGATAGCTCAAAGAAAAACGCCTAAAAGGCGACATGATGATTGGTAACAATATCAAATCATAAACCATCTCATCATCATCCTCACCGCATTGTCTTTCCCTTTTTTAATTAGCTCCTGAGACAAGATGAAGCTGTAAGAGTCGCATAGACTAACAGCACTAACATCTGGATAACAGAGAACTGTCTAAGCATGACATATATAAACATTACACTTTTTCACACAGAATTTCAACTCGAGTTAACTAGAGTCAATTTTTTTCCGAGTTATCACGGCACATCTCTAAGACAATTATAATAACACGAATATATCAAAACAACTCATTTTTTTCACATCTCTTGATTCCGTTTAGGTTTTCGAAAAATCTTTATGCTATATATATAATAATAAATTGGTACCTTCTTAGGGTTCCGGTATAGGAACCCTTATAGTTTCGCCATGTCTGTCTGTCTGTCTGTCCGTCCTCGCTTAATCTCTGTGGCCGTTAGCACTAGAAAGCTGAAATTTGGTACCAATGTGTGTATCAATCATGCCGACAAAGTGGTAAAATATGGTAATAATGGTGGAAAAAAATGTTTTATTAGGGTAGCCCCCCTATATGTAAAGTGGGAAGTAATTTTTTTTTTAAATTTCAACCCTCACGTGTGATATATTGTTGGAAAGGTATTTAAAAATGAGTAGGGGTTTACTAAAATCATTTTTTGATAATGTCAATAATTTCGGAAATAACTATTGAACCATAAGCTTAGAAAATATGAAAAAAATCTGAAAAGTAGAACTTTATAAGGACTTTCTAGGAAAATCATTTTGAACTTGGATGGAAACAACAGTACCCACTACCGGGAGCAGTTGCAGGAGCGCGGCTGCTGGAAACATAATGGATACCCACGTTTAAACTCATAAGTGGGAACACTTATTGTTCAGGAAACTACGGAACCCTACACTGAGCGTGGCCCGACACGCTCTTGGCCGGTTTTTTTGTTTAGGATATTATTGCGGGCCGCTAAAATTTCTAGTGGGCCCAAAAATAATTTTCTCCCGGTACAGTCATCCACACATTGTACAAATATTTTAATTTGTTTTCAGTTTTTAAATTTAAAAACGTTATAACACATTTTTTTTGTTTTCGTTATATATGAGTAAAACAAACAATTGTCATCAATTCGTCACTGAATCTTTGCATAAAAAAATTAAGTATATCGTTTGGGACGATTGTAGCTTGAAGGACACCTAAAGTCTACTAGAGTCTAGAGTCGACTTCAATGATCTAAGTAGGCACAACATGCATGCTTCCGAAGACCGGGTTTTAATTCTTCTATCCATTCTATTCTGCGAGTCTATCTTCTTCATCTTAACCCTGTGAATGGATGAATCCATCTGCGGTCTTCTTTATTTAAAGTTAGTAGAAGTTGTCCATGAGTTGCAATAGTTATTAATAATCGGATTGATTATTGATCCGTTTGCAACAAATACTTATAAAAGTTATTTCATCAATTATTGCTTTGATACAAATAAATAAATAAATCTGTTAAGTATTAGCGTACAATTGGACAATTACTTACGTTAATAATTTACTTGCACAATTTATTACCAGTGTAAAGTAAACCCTTACTTTACTTACCCACATTTACTGTGTTTATGTTTATTCTTATACATGCGAAATAATTATTTGAACATTTATTGTTAGTTCCATATCCTTTTCTAAACAAAGCAATTATTGTAATCGAACTTCTCGCTTACGTCATTTTAATATATTATATAGTTTGTACAGAGTTGAGGTTTTTTATATAGAATATGGGTTACAAACGACCACACAGTCCAGCTGATGGTAAGTGGATGCTGTAGCCCATAGACATCTACATTTATCCTCGATGCGTTGTCAACCATGAGAACTAATATGGAATGCCTTGTTTTTAGTAAAAAGGGTATCTAATTTTCAACAATCTCCATATAAAACACAGGAGCATTAAGCTGCTATTTTACGCTGGTATTGTTTGGGAGCGTGGTGCTTCCCCGGTCAAGTCGACCTATTAATGCTACAACCATATTATACTTGCGGCGTGACTCTGCCACGTATAAATACGTAATACGTTAAAATGCACGCACTCCCTTAAAAAAATTAAAAAAAAAATCACCATTTTAACAGTGTTTGACTACAACATCTAACTGTAAACTAACACTTTAAAAGGATAAGATTCAAGATTTATTATGATAGCAGTTGAATTTAATGTATTTATTTTAGGGAGAAATTGAAACTCAAGGCACTTTTGAAGAAGTATCCCGGTCACCGTTGTTTGAAGAACTGCTAGAAGAAGATGAACAGCCTGAGGCTGAAGGGTGCACACAACTTGTGCGTACTATGTCTATAAAGGTATAACAAAACTCTTAACGAACCTTTGTACCTGTTTCGGTTTCTTTATATATCATTTTGGTTTAACTTTATTAAAAATAAATTTGAAAGCCACATTTAAATAAGATTAAAAGTAAACTTGCTTCTTTAACTGAGATCATTCGTAGCTTTGTGAAGGTGTTATCACGTCAACTGAGGTCCCAGGTTAGAATCCCAAGTCAGGCCACAAAAAACAGTTATTTGAGTTTTCCCGTCAAGAAATTCTCAGAGTCAGGAAGTTGGCGGCGTCTCACCCCCATGCCTCGAAAAGTACGTAAAGCCGTTGATCCTGTGCCTGATATTTCTTCGGTCGTATGGCTTACCGTCCCGTCGGACTATGTGAGTGAGGGAATAGAGTGCAGATGTGCTTGCTCACACACATGGACAATATAATCCTGTCCTGCGCCGATGGCTAGTCTCCGTTTAAGCTGGCTGTCGTAACCGGAATTTGGTCTGGAGGACATTATTATTACCACATCTAGTGTCGTATACAGTGTACAGCATATTATCTCCTGGCTGGTAAAGCCATTCACAGATTATCTGATCGAAGTTTTGGGTACTGCAAGGAAAAATAAATTAGCGCGCCTTTAAATTGCGCAAAACAAATTAGTAAAAGTATTGTTTAATTATGATTTCTCTATACCTACAAAAATTGTATGACGAAATTAAAATTATGAATATTAAACAGACATACGTATTTTACCTGCTTGCTTATACGTAAAATATTACTTAAATATGTGTACACCCAAATAACATTCTCTAAATGACATCAATTGAAAGAACGTGTGTTTAAAAGCACAAATGATATTAGCTTAAGTGTTCCACGCACAATATACGATGAAAGAAACATGTATGAGGGTGCAAAACTTTACAAAATTTAAGTTACTATGTAAACATTATATATAAAACCAAAATTTACTAAAATACATAGAATTAACATAATGGTACACTGGAAGCTTTGCCGCCTATAAAACCGAAACGAGGAGGAGGACAAAAAAAATTGCAAACAAGCCTTGGCAATAATTATGAACACTTCGAAAAATCAACTTAAAAAAAAACTAACTACATTACACCATACTAAAATCGACTAAAATAATTACTATAATATCAACTGTCAAAATGGTTGATAGAATCAGGCGTTACTTTGCGGAAATCCATTATAATAAAAAATAAAAATATAAATTTCTTTGCAAACTTCCGCTAAATAAATACAATGATGTGTCTTACCTGAATTGAAGAGCACTCCCGCCCTCCCTAAATTGCATGCACTAACTCCGTCACCACTAGTCCCAGCACCACTACTCCCAACACCACTATTCCAGGTAAGACACACCATCGACGATAATACGACACGTGTTTCGCCTCTACACGAGGCATCTTCAGGTAATGTGGACTCTACGGTGGCTGACCGCGTGAGCGGCGAGGTGTCAAAATGGTGTCCATAAAGCAGCGCCCTCTTGGACCTTTATTATTTGATTGACCAAAGAAGAGCCATATTTGTAAACAAGGCTGTAGTTTAGTTATAAGAAAGTGACCATATTAACCGGATGACCATATTACCCTCACGTACTATAGTTATACTATAATAAACACATATAGGTACTTATTTTTACACATTTAATTAAATAAAGTATTTCACATATTATACTATTACAATAAACAGCTTATCACATTATACTTAACTAAATGATACACAACATTTTTAAGAGTGTAAACTTCTTATCACGTGTAGCCGATCTTATTTCGCGTGACCTGTGTACTACAGTCAACAGTGTAACTTAACTGTTTTTGGTACTAGGAGTTGTTTTTGCTTGTTCTTACTGATAAGCGCCTATGGAAAATTTCTTGAATTACCCTCTGATTTTTATATTTTGTGCAAAATTCATATTAAGTTATTTATCAATTGGCTGCGTTTGGCAGAAAAAAGCGCTCGCAATCGCTTGTAAGCAAACTGGCGAAACTAAACAGTTTTCGATCAGGACACGTTCACTAACTTCAGTAGCGCTGACACAATCCGCCATTTTGCTTATTTAATTTGTTTGTTTTGAAGTAGAGTTTATAAGTTGTTTTGTGCAATATTAGTTTTAAGTAATATAATGACATGAATAAACATATTATAAGTACATGATATTAAAAATTCATAATTGGTAAGTTTTTAATATGAATACTTTACAAACATAAATTATACATTGAAATATTACAAAATATAATAGAAAATTATGTTGTTATGGTTGGTTGATGTGAAATGGTTTTGTAGATATAAAATAAGGGAAAAACTCTTTAAACTTACCAACGTTGCATAAAAAAAATTTGTATATCCTCTCATTTACTATAGAATTCTGTAGTATAGTAGGATAGAAGATGCAAGTTTCTTAAAATTTAATAACAATAAAATTAAATACTCTTCAACAATTCCGTCATTAGTCTTTGCTCGGCAAAGCATTTAGAGAATAGAAAATATACAATTTTAATAAGTAGTTTATTGATACAGCATTTTAATTATATAAATGATATAGTCCAGGGAGGATGAGTGTGGTATAAGTATGCCGGTGTGCTAAACGAGCGACAAAGCCGAAAAAATTGACTCGGCTCCTCGCCGTATGGTAGCGGCGTAAAATTTACCACCACCCCTTGTTCGCACCATGACTCATGAAATAAAAGAAATGGCCCCGAGTTCCCGGCGCCCCTTTAATGGGGCAGGGGTGCGAAGAATCTCCGGGAGAAAAACCGGCGACGAGGTTCGCCACCCGTCACGTTCTGTCTCCCGGAGGGGCGAAAAGTGGATTACGGAAACCCGTCTGGCTACGCTGAATGTATGTGGAGGAATGAATGATAAGATGGATGAAGTATGCGAAATGATGAATGTCAGAGGAATAGATGTGTTATGTGTGAATGAGATGAAACGAAAGGGAAAGGATGCCACTGCACTTGGCACGTATACCGCGTATTGGTCTGGTGTAGACGAGACCGAACGGGCATGCCAGGGAGTCGGTTTCATCCTTTCAGAAAGAATGGGTCAATGTGTGAAAGAGTATGAATGTGTAAGCCCGAGGCTGCTATGGATACGGATGAAAGTGGGCTTAAAGAAGCTGTTCCTGCTAGGGGTCCCACCGCCCCAGACATGTCTAAGCCCACTTACATCCGAGAGCAGTTTTGGGACATGGTAAGGATGGTGTTGACAAAATGTAAGGAAAATGAAAATATTATTATGTTAGGAGACTTTAATGGAAGGGTTGGGGTGAAGAGGTCTGGTTATGAAAGAATATTGGGAACGTTTGGTGATGAAAGTATAAATGAGAATGGTGAAGACCTCCTCACCGTATGTCTGAAAAAGAATCTTTTTGCGACGAATACTTTTAATTCGTCATAAGAAGATTCACATGTATACATGGGAAAGAGGTGATGATAGAAGCATGATAGATTTCGTAATTGTGGATGCAAGGATGAGAAGCGCAGTCGTAGATACAAGGATTTACCGGGGGTCCAACGTAGGGACGGATCATTACTTGGTCTTATGTCAAATTAATGGTCATTTCAAGCGTTGGCGGCATCGGACATCTGTGTCTACCACTGCGTTACAGCGTATAAGAATAGAGAAGTTACAAGATGAAGATGTGAAAGAGAAGTATAAATGAAGACTGAGAGGAAATATTAGATGTTTGAATGAGTTGGGTATGAATTATTTAGACTTGAATACTGTGTGGGATAATATTAAGAAAAGTTTGGTGGATGCCGCCACCGAAGTACGTGGTGTAAGTAAGAGAACAAATGAAAGGAAAAGTAATACGTTGTGGTGGGATGATAAGGTACGGGTGGAAGTTGAATCAAAGAAGAAAGCATGGTTAGATTTACTAGCAATCAAAGCTGGTAATTCTTCTGGTATGAATGATGAGATTGAAAGAAAAAAGGCAGAATTTAGACGTCTAAATAAGAGAGTAAAAGAAGTTGTTGAAAGGAAAAAGAAAGAAAGAATGGATAAGAATGATAGAAGGATATCTGATAATTTCCAGGCTAACATAAAAATGTTCTGGAAACTCGTAAGAACTGCCAGGGGGAAATACAAAACAGCCTTATAATGAATGCTATAAGAGACGAGAATGGATGTATTCTGAATGATGAAGTTTCGAATTTAAACAGATGGAAGATACTTTGAAAGCGTGTTTATGAGTGAAGAGTCGTCTGAATTAAATGAACTAGAAATTCCGAAAGAAGTGGAAAGGGGTATGGAAAGGGTTGATAATGAAAGCAATGAAAAGCATGAAAGCAGGTAAGGCAGCGGGATATAATAGAGTATCACTCGAGATGCTAAGGGCTGGAGAGGGAGTGGTGGCAGGCCTGCTGTACACCTTGTTTAATTTATGTTGGGAATTAAAATGGGTACTGAATGACTGGTGTAAAGCAGTTATAGTACCAATATATAAAGGAAAAGGGTCACGGCAGGACTGCAAAAACTACCGTGTTATCAGCTTGCTTAGTTTGTGGGTAACCTGTATGCTAAGGTGTTAATTGAAAGAGTTATGAAAGAAACTGATGGAAAAATTTGGGATGTGCAAGCGGGTTTTAGAAAGGGAATGGGGTGTACAGATCAAGTCTTTTCCATGCGCATGATTGCGGAGAGTTTTTGGCCAAAAACTAGAAAGTTTTTGTGCGTTCATGGACTTGGAAAAGGCTGCAGAGTGGACAGGAATGTGTTATGGCAAAACTGAACTCATATGGGTTGAGCGCTGGTTTGATACAGGCATTAAGGTCTCTTTATAGAGACTCTAGTTGTAGGATCAATGGGGTCTACTTGGACTGGTTTGGCATCCAAAAAGGTGTCAGACAGGGCTGTGTAGCTTCCCCTTGACTGTTCAACCTATTTGTGGACAGGTGTTTGCAAACTTTGAAAGATGAAGAATGTGGGTTAAGAATGGGCGAGTTAACCGTCAAATGCCTTTTGTATGCCGATGATCAAGTCATATTTTCGTCATCGGCGGCTGAGTTGCAAGTGGTGGTTACATTAATGAACTGGGAATTAAAAAAAGGGGAATGAAAGTGAAAGCAAGTAAGGCGAAAGTGATGGTTTTTGAAAGAGAAGAAAGCAAAACGGTATGTGAAATAAGAATAGAAGGAGAGTTAATTGAGCAAGTGGATGAGTTTGTGTATTTGGGATGTGTATTTAGCAGGGATGGTAGATATGATAGGTATATAGAACGACGAGTGAATGCAGGGAATAGAGTGAATGGGGCACTACACTCTATTATGAAGAACCAGAATGTGTCAAAATGCTGTGTTAGTCCCTACTTTAATGTATGGTAGTGAAAGCTGGGTGTGGCAGAAGAAGCACGAAAGTAGAATAAATGCTGTAGAAATGCGGTCTTTAAGGAATATGCTAGGGTTGAATCTGAATGACAGGGTGAGAAATTGTGTGATAAGAGATAAATGTGGTATGCAAGATGATGTTGTGACCCGGATTAGGAAAGGAATGCTTCGGTGGTTTGGTCATGTAGAAAGAATGAATGAGCAAAGAGTGACAAAGCAAATTTTTATGGCAGATGTGAACGGCCGAGTCGGGAAGGGACGCCCTAAAAAAAGTTTATCGACCAAATTGGCGATATTTTGAAAATATGCCACGTTAGAAGTACCCTTAACCGACGAGCATGTATGCGTAGATATATGGATGTAAAGGAGGCGAAAGAGGTATGTCAGGATCGTGCCAAATGGAAGTCCGTAGTCTCTGCCTACCCCTCTGGGTGACAGGCGCGAGTGTTTATTTATTTATTTATTTATCCAGTCGTATTCAAACTTTGCATCAAAAAGTTTCGTGAAAAACTACGAAAATTAGGTACCTACGTACTTAGATTATTTAGAGTAATTAATCTAATCCTACGTATTTTGTCGGATCCGATTGAATTATTTTTATTAGGACGTTTTTTTAGATCTAAATTACTATATAACTGGAACTTACTATGGAGTAACAAATATAAGTACCATTTAATTATAACGAGAACATGACGCGATGCTAGTTTAGCAACAGCGGAAGAGGGATTTCGAACTAACAAATATGAACAACGTCGTGAAGCTAGTAGCAAGTAAGCTCTTGAACAATTTTTGGTCAGGAAAGTCTGTTTTGGCCATAGAATACTATAATACACAATAGAATGGCTGTCCGTTACTTTATTTTAGCTACTTTATTTCGTACGAGGATTGGCGTCGCCAAACCCGATTCGCTGTGTTGACAGACTGAATAAATTTACATATTTTAGACTTTTGATTAATATTCAAGATCATAACATCAATATAATCACACCATAAAAAAATCGTTTAAATTTTTTAATACATATTTAGTTGTAAATAGGGTGCAATTTGGCATTTTCTGAAAAATTTGCATATGAAATTTGGAAACGATTGTAACGTCAAAACACATCTCGTGTTGACATTTATACGTGTGAATTGACGTGTTAGTGACATTTTAGTGGCTACGCGGGCTCCACCCACTCCTACGTTCTATTATGTGTGTATTATAGTATTCTATGGTTCTGGCAAACAATTCGATAAAACGCGTCGAAGTGAACAAAAATGGTATTGGATAAAAATGTGAACAGTATTTTTTGTCGGCTCCGATATCGACAAATGAGAAAGGATCGTAACACGACGTCCGACATCCGTGCTTGTCTTTATGTTACAAACGAGAAGGTAAAAATAAATCAAATTTGTGTGACAATTTTAATCATCATCATCATCATTACAGCCCTTCACAAGTCCACTGCTGAACATAGGCCTCAATTTTAATATACTGAGAAATTAACAACAGTTGACAATGAACCTTGTATTGTTTTAAGACTAACGAGGTCGATGTCGTCACCGATAATATTATTTGTTTCTATAAATTTTTTTATTTACCCTTGTTTTTTATGCAGTCGCACACCAGTGTTGAGAGTACGGTTGCAGAATACGGCAATGAAAATGAGGAAGAACCCAAAGAAACCGCCGAGCTCATGGAAAAAGGTAGGTACCCACTCAATGACGTAAATTTATTACAAGATATCAAGGTTTCAAAATATTTAACTCACTTGTCTAACTTGTTGTAATTTTAAAAATATCAGGTGCAATCACTGATTTTTTTTGATAAAGCTGTATTTATACAACAAATATTCACATAATCCGAAATAGGCTTTTTGTCTTATGACTAGAGAATTTACTTATGGTGTTCTATAATTATCATATACGCGTCTATAAATTCTATTTCTCTAAATAGGTGATAAGTTGCGTTTTTATTATTAATGTACTATCTATGCCCACGACTTCGTTCATATTATATAATCTTTGTTAGTAATTTATTTTTTTTTGAAGTTTTATTACTTAGGACCTAATTGATTATATTTTATAAACTACACTACATATAGTTAAAATAATATATATATTTTATACTTATAAAGAATAATTCATCGCAATGTGATTTCGTTTCGTTTCATACTATATATGGAATTCCGTTTCGGAATTCCGTATGTAGTATGAAACGGAAGGAACTAGTCGACCACACACATACGGAATCCCGTTTTGTCCGTAAAATTTCGAACGGAAAACTACCGTAGGTGAGTGACGGGTCATTGATTTTATATGGACTTGTTGCGTTCGGAATTCCGAAACGGAATCTCTAAAAGGAATTTAGTATGTATGTGGCCGCCCTAAATTACAAAAAAATTACAACATACACTGAAAGTACTAGGTACTCATGCGGTTAAAGAATGGGACTGCACAAAAATAATACGTTGCGATATGCGTTTCTTTATAACAGTAGCCTAACTTGTCTTTGGAATCAATGATAACGAATTCCCGTCCTATTTTGCTAATTTATGAGCAATGAAGCGTTCTGACAGCTTTCTATTATCGATTTTGTTTTTTAATGTTTTTGTATAAAATATTTACATGCCATTGAGACATGAGTAACCATTTTTAAAATTTTGTTTTTCTGTCTGTCCGAGCTCATCTCAGGCATGGCTGAACTGATTGTAATAAAACTTCATAAACAAATAGATAGTTATACCAGGAGTAATCTAGACTAAATTTTATCCGAAAAACTTAGAGATTTTACAAAAATAGAGATATTGATGAGATAAAATAAAAGGTTTTTAAAGATTGAAATGAGACATTATTGGATCCCATCCAGGAGAAGCCAGAGCGGATTGCTAGTTATAAATTTTATTTTAAAATTTATATACCTTCTTTGGTATACAATTCTTTTCAAATAAATTTCCCATTAATATAAAATTTCCAATTAACAGAATAATATACCGTTATACCGTTATTAGCGGGTTCTCGCTATTGGCTTCTACGGTACGGGCACGATAACCCACCATTTCTAATCTTATTCTTTATCCATACGGACTGTAAGAGTCAATGTGAACTTGCAGGCTTGCACCCCTCAATCAGATATTGATAACACCTCTTACTTTAGCTTGCCCATGTCCATCCTGTTTATACTTATTGCGACATATTTACATTAGTAGCCTTTAAGGCCATAGGATGTAATGAGGTGATTAATTCTATCACGTCGCCACAACACAATGGCAGCGGGTTTGATGTAGTTTTTGTAACCCAGAATGATAATGTACGTTGTAATGCAGGGCGTGTGTCCGGCTCCGTGTACGTGAAGTACTTCCGTGCGGGCGGCGGCTGGGCGCTGCTGACTCTCACGCTCGTTTCCATTTTACTAGCACAGTGTGTAACCTCCATCAGCGACCTCTGGCTCACGCATTGGTAATATTCTACTTTTGATTTATTGTTAATTTTGTTATTTCCCGGAAATAGAGCTAGAAATAGAGTAAATGAGGCCCTGCACTCTATTGTGAAGAGTCAAAATGTGTCGAAAAAGGCGCGTATGGCAATTCACAATGCTGTGTTGGTCCCAACTTTAACGTATGGTAGTGAAAGTTGGGTGTGGCAGAAGAAGCACGAGAGTAGAATGAACGCAGCAGAAATGCGGTCGTTATGGAGTATGTTAGGGCTGAATCTGAATGACAGGGTGAGAAATTGTGTGATAAGAGAAACGGCTGACAAGATTCTCTTGAATCACATCTAAGAACACTTGATCAAGTCACCTTTCAAACAAAATAAAAACTGAATCTATATCGGTTCATCATTTTGGTAGCTACTGTACCACAGTGATGATCTTCAAACGGCTGATAATATTTTCTTGAATCACATCTAAGAACACTTGATCAAGTCACCTTTCAAACAAATTAAAAACTAAATCTATATCGGTTCATCCATTTGGGAGCTACTGTACCACAGTGATGATCTTCAAACGGCTGACAAGATTTTCTTAAATCACATCTAAGAACACTTGGTCAAGTCACCTTTCAAACAAAATAAAAATTAAATCTATATCAGTTCATCCATTTGGGAGCTACTGTGCCACAGTGATGATCTTCAAACGGCTGACAAGATTTTCTTGAATCACATCTAAGAGCACTTGATCAAGTCACCTTTCAAACAAAGTAACTAAATCTATATCGATTCATCCATTTGCGAGCTACGCTGCCACAGGCAGACACACGTAAGTGAATTCCAGTGATACATACATCACCCCTCTGTTTTGGTGGGTGTTTTAGTTAAGTGAAAATAAGCATATTTTTGAAAGTATTTAAAAACACCTATGTTTTTGCAATATAACCCCTATTAATCATGCCAGCCTCGTACCGGTAGGCCTAGTGTAGGGCAACCCCCCACTAGATGGAGTGACGACCTGGTAAGACGTGCAGGAATATTAGCTATTCTCAGGAGTATTTTTCTTATTATAATATTACTAAGAAGGAAAATATTTGTGAATAAATTAATGTTTGTTTAGCTGACAGCCATGTTCGCCTATAATAGTGTTTTCTTGTTTTAGGTACTGTTATAGACGTAGTGAACCAATGACATCATTTTAGATTTTTTTAATTTATATCAAAATAAACCACATTGTTAAGGCATTCCACAACATCCAATAGCGTAGTTTTTTTTCTTTAATTTGTATTTATACACATAATATAATAATTATGACTAAATAACACCATAAGAGCTACAGCTACAGCAATATGTTTTCTTAACTTGGACACTTGGCCTCGAATCTCAGATTCGCGCAGACGCACACCCACCATTGAAATAGCATCAGTTTGGTGTTTATCCGTGGTCATTAGTCGTACATGGTAGCGTCCGCAAAATCACGCACTGTGGAAGCCACCCCAACACGTCTGCAGTGTAGGCTAGGCTAGGGAGTGCTGTCGCTTTCGTCGTATAAATTTTATTATTAAACGAAATGACCCGAAGTGAACCTACATCATAATTATAAGATGTCCTTCGTTACTTATATAATACAGGTATTATTAAGTTTAAGATTCACTAATGGCAATAATGAATTTTAAAAAAATTTTAAACACTAATTTCTCCCCTTTACATCTGCAAACAAGCAAACCATTATTTATTTGTTATTTGTTGTTTTAAGTTTCACAAAAAAACTTTGCTATTTCAAAATTTGTAATAATAAAATGAATATTGTATAATAGCTTGAAAAATGGGTATTTTTTGATGCGAATCGCCGAGGAATGACTTCTCTCCGATCGGCTCGATTCACTGGCACTGCGAAGAGAAGTTGCATCCCTTTGCATTTTCTATCGCATTTACCACGGGGAGTGTTTCGAAAAATTGTAGTGTTTGATTTATTAGGAGTTTTCTTCTTCGTATGACTACTTTGTGGAATCTTTTACCGACGGTTATTTTCCGGACCGATACGTCTTAGGCTTTTATCGCGATACGAAAACTACATTTGTATTCCATTTACATAATTTACTTTGTTAAATTATAATATGTATATAATATGGTGTGGGTTAAATTATAACTATTATTTAATTAACTTAATTGCTAACTAGGATGAACGACGTCGAAGCGAAACACTTACGATTCGAAGACGAGAAATTCAACGCAAATTATATGAGCACCAACAACGATACAAACGTATTCAACGAGACAACGGAACCACTAATGCTGGATGATGCAACCGCTGACCCAACTTCACCAACGACAATGAATCCAAACCTTACCGTCATAGGCACAATGGTTAAAGCAGCACTAACTATACAGAATATTACTGTAGGGGAGGAACCATTAGAACATTCTTATTATATATACATTTGGGCGATTGCTATATTTGGGTGCATATTGTTTACAACTGAAAGGTCAGTACCGCTTTCTTTTCTTATGAAATTTAAATGATAAATAGTGCGTAAAGTTATAAAATTGTTCCAATCCAATATTACACAAAATATTTGCATCAAAACCAATAGCGTACATAGTTGACGCTCATGAGCTATTAAAACAACACGTCTTAAGAAATTGTATGAAGTTAGCAGTTAATGACGTCATGGTATCTTGTTGACAAATAAACAACTATTTTCGAATTTTTAAATAGTAAAAATAAATTGTGAGACTTTAAATTACGATTTTGGAATCTTCTGCTTCGTAGCTTAACATGAACCTTTCCCGTGTAGGCTAAAAATTTGAAAGGACAATGTCCAAAATCGCCCTGTGCAATAAAAACATCGGACATACACGATAATTAATTATCTATTTTATTATATTTCTTGCAAATACTTTTATAACATGAACTAGCCGCGTGCCAATATAAACATTAAAAAAGTATTCTATTCGACTTATAACATTAATCGCCACCATCTTCACCAAACGTCATGTGGTGTATAAAAATTACTAGGGACGCCCAATCGATTATAATCGATCTTTTGAATTTTTAATGAACAGTTGCATAGTTTTTAATCTGAATCACATTTTGAATTTATTTCGAATAAATTGCAAATAGAAACTAAAATAAGAACAATCACTCACCATTTATTTTTGTTATTCCCTAAAAGTATAATTTAAAAACCTACTATACCTAATGATAGAGGTCAAACTCGAAAATAAATAGGTAGTTAGAATAATGCTGAAGTGAACAAAACCTAATTATTTCACCATGATCAGGTTTTCTAATGATGGTTTATAAAAGCGTGTGACTTACTTCTAACTAAACGATCACTTACAGGTTTATGATAATAAATATTTTTAATATAAAAATTACGACAAACAATAAATCGATAAACATTATATCGATAAAGTTATTCGAGGATAGACATTTACAGAACTAGTGTAATTCGCCTATGTTGTCAGCACTGTTGTTCTAAAAATTAATTTCATGTCTTGATGTTAGTAGAGTAGTTTGGCGTCATTTTATACGGTTGTTCTCTAACCTCCATGCATTTACTTTTACTAAGGTAAAGAAAGTCGTAAAAATTTTAATAAAAATTAAAGTTTTTATTAAAATTTTTACGATATTGCATATTATATAATAATAGTGTGCCCTATGTTTTTGCAGTAGTTGCAAATTAATTTATCAGAATTAGAACTAGACAAATGAGCAATTTGTTTATTGTGACTAGAATTAGAATGTTTTTTATTTTTGAAACATTGCGTAGCGAAATGACCCACTTTATTACACATATTACACCGTTTATTGAATTTTTTGATCACATTTGAAGATTTTGTAATTTTTCTTCCCCTACCGACTCCGAAACGGAATTCCGTATGTATGTGACGGGCCTCAGTCGATATAAAATCAATGACCCGTTGCACACCTTCGATAGTTTTTCGTACGGAATTTGGCGTGCGAAACGGAATTCCGTATGTACGTGGCCGACCCGTTCGTTCCGTTTATAGTGTGATGCGGGCCTTTTGACTTTATTAGTAAAAAAACTACATGAAATTAATAAAAACAAATTTAACGTTATTTTATCATGGTGCAGAAATTTTTTCCTATCTTTTAAATGTACGCAAGTTACGTTTTAGTGACCTTTCAATCCGTTATCCGCACCGTACTACAACGCAAAAACTATAATATTGTGGTGAGAGGTTGGCACAAAGTGTGACCAATTACTCCGCAACTTGCCCGTCAGCATGCGCATCGCAGCCGGAGTCAATCCGCTAATGATTTTTACCCCCGTTACGTTTGCAAGTTCGAGATCTAGGTCGCCCACCCAACCTATCCACTGAATCTCTCTTCGGATCGTCCACGGTTGAACTTGGCGGCAACTCTACAACCGGCTGTCTAAAGGTCCTTCACTCCTGCCATGTACCTTCCTCGTTTTGGTGAAACAGTGGAACTCACTTGTTCTTTTTCTGCATTTATTTCATTATACTAGAAAGTATTCGCTTGGCAGGCAGGCTATTACTAAAATGAAGATGTTTTGTATTCAATATGATGCTAAAATTATCATTATTTATAATGAAATTAAATGTCTATGTACCAAAAATCCTTTTAATGTGGATTGTGGTGCTTCTTTTATTGTATTTTTACTTTTAAGGTACTAACGTAGTATGATTAATAAAATGGGAAACTCGTGTTAATTCACACTTTTCTTAAGTATATTTTGGGAATTTTTACCTATGAGGTACATAACAATCGCAAGTAACTTACTTGAGTGAGGTTCTCTGTCCAGTAGTGGCTAATATTTGTAATATTGTATAACATATATCATTATAATGTATTTGAAATGAAGTAATTTCGTTTGCAACAATATTTCATACTTATTTCAGATCTCTGCTGTTTCTTTGGATATGCATGCGCAGTTCTATTAAGTTGCACAATTCAATGTTTAGTAACATTCTTGCGGCCACAATGCGCTTCTTTGACACTAATCCATCAGGACGCATTCTAAACCGATTTTCCAAAGACATGGGCATTGTTGATGAGATACTACCGAGAATGTTCTTGGACAGTATGCAGGTAACGTTATAAAGCTTCTAATCATAATATTCATAATTTAACGGCTTTAATTGTGTTATTTTCTAATCTCAACGTTTAAAGTACTTTGAAGCTCCCAAGCATTCGGGTGACAGGCGAACTGTGCCCCATCGCGATAAAATCCATAAAAAAATAGTTTTACTAATGATTTTATATTACTTTCAATACGCACCACAAATTTCATTAAGTATTTGAAAATTTTGCAATTAAAATATAATGAATGAAATGTGTAGTATTGGCGATAGTAAACAATAATGAAATCTATACTTACCATTATTATACTCATAGTTATGCATCTGCTGCTGCACTTTGATCCTTGTTCCACTTTGGCATATTATAGTTTGGAGAATATTGCTCCATAGAGACTGAAATAAGCCTACAAGGATGAGAATTACTGCGATATTAATAGTCAGGCTTAACATTTTTGAAAAGATTTAAATAATAATATCTACGAGACTGGATTTCGTTCGCGGCGGCCAGTCTCAACGGAGATAAGCCATTTAGACGAAACACGATCATAGTGTGTGTGCAAGAACATGTGCGATCTCTATTCCCTAACTTTGATAATCCGATGGGCAGGCAAATCCGACACGATTGGAGAGAGATCAGGTGCAGAACCAACTTTACCTGCACTCCGAGGCACGGGCTGGTACATCGCTAACTTCCTCACGCCGGTGTGCTACTAAGATACATCGCTAACTTCCTCACGCCGGGCTGCTACTAAGATACATCGCTAACTTCCTCACGCCGGGCTGCTACTAAGATACATCGATAACTTCCTCACGCCGGGCTGCTACTAAGATACATCGCTAACTTCCTCACTCCGGGCTGCTACTAAGATACATCGCTAACTTCCTCACGCCGGGCTGCTACTAAGATCCATCGCTAACTTCCTCACTCCGGGCTGCTACTAAGATCCATCGATTACTTCCTCACGCCGGGCTGCTACTAAGATATATCGCTAACTTCCTCACGCCGGGCTGCTACTAAGATACATCGCTAACTTCCTCACTCCGGGCTGCTACTAAGATCCATCGCTAACTTCCTCACGCCGGGCTGCTACTAAGATACATCGATAACTTCCTCACACCGGGCTGCTACTAAGATACATCGCTAACTTCCTCACGCCGGGCTGCTACTAAGATACATCGCTAACTTCCTCACTCCGGGCTGCTACTAAGATACATCGCTAACTTCCTCACGCCGGGCTGCTACTAAGATACATCGCTAACTTCCTCACTCCGGGCAGCTACTAAGATACATCGCTATCTTCCTCACTCCGGGCTGCTACTAAGATCACATCGCTAACTTCCTCACGCCGGGCTGCTACTAAGATACATCGCGAACTTCCTCACTCCGGGCTGCTACTAAGATCCATCGCTAACTTCCTCACGCCGGGCTGCTACTAAGATACATCGCTAACTTCCTCACGCCCCTAAGTTAGGGCTGTATCTGTCAACTAAGATACATCGCTAACTACCTCACGCCGGGCTGCTACTAAGATACATCGCTAACTATCTCACGCCGGGCTGCTACTAAGATACATCGCTAACTTCCTCACGCCGGGCTGCTACTAAAATTTTCGTGACAAAAAATCCCAATAACTGACTTTTACTCTGATGACTGAACTCGTAACAGGACCCGGAATATGGTCAGCAGTTGCGCTTATTAAAACTTGACCAACGAGGTAGTCACCAAAGAAAACTACTTTAAGGAAACCGTTAAAATTTCATGGATAATGTTAGTTTAGTGATATTTGTTCTTTTAGGTGATTATGGTTATGCTGGGAATTTTAGTAATGGTGGCCATAGTGAACCCGTACATGTTGCTTACGACCGCTGTGTGCGGCGTGTTCATGTACATGTGGACTATGGTCTACCTCAGCACAGCACAAGCCATTAAGAGGTAAGTCTTTTGTATCTTTTATGACACATCGGTCAAATAAACAATATAATGGGAAACCCGAAAATAGCACACCTCCAACACCCATTAAAAAAAGAAAAGGGACAAGCTAGTTATTTAATTTAAAAAAAAGCTTGAGATCCAGATATTTACATAACATAACAACGGTTATTATTTATAAATACGATTTTAACTTTATAATTGCAGAAATTCGTACTAAAGTTCGTTGATGTTGATATCTCTTGAATGATAAGGAATTTATTAACAAATGTTGATAAATGCGTCAGACAACTTAATCGCGGTAGTACACATACTAATCAACATCAATATTAATATAATTTAGATAATATAAATTAATTGTCCATATTGATAATTCTAGTTTATAAAAACTTACTGCGACTGGACTTTTCTGGTATGATTTATGAACGATAGATATGATTCAACATGATTGCACGAGCGATAAGTGGCTTGGTTATGGTAATGTTAGCTTATCAACAGGAAAGTGTGCTTTAATTTTACGTTACGTACGTTGATTTTTTATATAAAAATTGTATGATTTTTTTGCCAATTACGGGCTGGTTTAAAAAATATGTGGGGGGGGTTTTTGTGGGGGTGGTGTTTTTTTTTTTGGGGTGGTGGGGGGTGCCCCCCCCCCACCAAAAAAAACAAAACATCGTTGTTGCCGCAGTGGATTTTTGAGGTCCTGTTATCGGGATAGTTAATGGTAATTAATTCTACGAAGAAGTTGTGCGACGAAAAAAATTCCGGTAAGTTGCAAAGTGGTGGAATGCCAATCATCCAGATGGTATGGATGGTATGTATGTTGTATGAATGGATGGCTGAAATTAGTTCGAACGATTTCCCTGAGCATTCCCCTTGGTAAATTAAAAAATAAAATTTTTGAAAAAAATATTGTAGATCAAATGTTAACTTTCTTTTAATGTAAATAAATTACTCCATGAAAATCAGTTTAGTTTTACAAGAGGTCGTTCGACAACTGACGCCGGTGTTGAGCTGATTAAACACATTTTCTGTGCATGGGAGAACTCAGAGGGTGCTTTAGGTATATCCGTGAGACATTATTTAGGAAACTTCATCATCATGGTGTAAAAAATACAGCACTCAAACTTATATTATATATGTATTTAATAGAACATAAACAGTTGTTATTAATGGGAGCAGTTCTTCCGAATCGGTAGTGTTTATATGTGTTCCTCAAGGCTCAATCCTTGGCCACTTACCATTCTTAGTTTATATTAATGACTTATTTTACTTGGTAGGGAGTAACCATGATAAAGCTTTATTTGCTGATGGTACTCTGTTAATTTTCCGACTTTAAGGCCAAATTATTAAAATATACACTTGTTTAACGTCAATAATTTTCTTTAAAATGGTAATAAAACGAAATGTATTAAATTCACCATGCCTAAAGTTAAGCAGGTGCTTCTAAATGGGGAAGAGCTAAGTTGTGTTAAATCCAATGTTTTTTTCGGAATTACAGTTGACGCAAAGATTCAATGGGGCCCTCATACATCTAAACTCACTACCAAACTTAATTCTACAACATACGCTGTAAAAATATTAGAGGCCTAACATGTGTTGAAACAGTTAGATTAGATATGGAGTCTTGCAATGGAGTAGTGCAACTGACATTGAAATTATCTTTGTTTTACAAAAGAGAGCCATAAGAGCAATTTATAACCTAGGTTTTCGCATTTCGCAATGATGATTTTTCTATGGTTCCACTATTTCCAATCTAAAAAAAAATGGAAAATTTTAATTTACGTAGAAACGTCAATTCTAAAAAATATTCTAGTTCTACGGTTCACAAGATACATAATTTTGCATTTCGTTTATTTTTTGTTGAATAAAACTATTATTTATGGATTTTATCGCGTTTAATTACTTTAATTTATTTTTATTATTATCCCGACGTTTCGGGTGCTTTACAGCACCCATGGTCACGGGGGTGACGGAGATGTTTGACGTCCCAATGTCATAGTTAGTCCGGCTACCTTCAGTTTTTTTAATATTAATTTTTGGTCCGATTTACACAAAACGAGCTTATAGTATCATGAAGTCTTGCGGTGGTATGCTTGGGTTTGGGTTTAGTTTTGTTAATTATAGGATCCCAAGCAGATGGTAGCACCCAACCAACTTCTCTATTGAAATTTGGATATTTTTTAATTTCAATAGCCTCGCGTATCATCCTTGGTAGGAATCGGTGTTCTTTTGCGAGAATTTGTGGTTTATCAAATCTAATGTAATGGTGGGGACGATCTTGAACATGTTCGAATGAGATTCAGTGCTACATCAGCTATATGAGTTCCTTCACGAGGGTTTTTATAGATCTCTTTGTTTGACCTATGTAAGAGAGACCACATTCACAATCTAGCTTGTACACACCTGCATCTCGTAGAGGAATATTACATTTGATGGATGGTAAAAATTGACTAATCTTCTTCAGCGGCTTGTAGTATGTCTTAATGGACGCTCGCTTCAAGATGTAGCCAATCTTGTCCGTGACTCCTCTGACATATGGTAGTAGAGAGTAGGCGCGCGCTCGACTGTGACCGGTTTCACTCGTTCACTGTGACGTAGGCGCGGGACCCGAAGCTTGTTGTCTTGCAATACTTGCTTGACGTGCTGTAGCTCCGCGGCCAGATGTTTTTTGTTCACAGATCCCTCGTGCTCTCTGAAACAAAGATTTACCCACGGTAGCTAACTGTGAAGGATGATGGTGAGATTCACCATTTAGATATCGGTTGGTATGGGTCTTTTTCTTATACACAGTGTGACCAATAGCGTTATCAGGATAAATAAAATCAATAAAACTGAATTCTTCTTTGTGACTTACACATCACAATTTTCAGATGATTCTGTTATATCGTAATGTTTATTATCTCTAGCCGTGATCTTTTTACAAAAACGGTATTTATTTTTAAGTTTTTTTATTGCTATTATTGCTTAAACGTTGTAGGTATTTAGCATTGGAAATAACTTCGTGTTGGTATTTTCAACTTTCTTTCTCCTGTAGAATATAATTACATTTCAAACTTTTATTTATTTATTTATTTATAAAAGTGTTTAACAACTTATTTACTTTATTACTTTTCTAAATATACAATACTAAATATATAAAAACAAAATAGAAAATTTGACTTCACATTCCCAGAATGGAACCTGGACACTCTCGAGTGCAAACTGCAAATCCATACCTCTACCAAATACAAGTTGGTTGAATACTCAAAGTCACTACTCTAATAAACTATGTATCTAAAATTCATAGGTTTAAAAAATTACTGCATTTCTATTTTTTTATTTATAATAGTATTTAATAAATTTATCTAAATATATAAAAGACAAAAAGAAAAATTTGAGTTCATATTCCTTGAATCGAACCCGGGCACTCTCGAATGCAAACTACAATTACATACCTCTACCAAATACACGTTGGTTAAATACTCAGTCACTACTGTAATAAACTATGTATATAAAATTCATAGGTTTAAAAAATAACTATATTTCAATTATTTTATTTATAAAAGTATTTAATATATTTTTTAAATATTAAAAAGAAAATTTGACTTCATATTCCTGGAATCGAATCCGGGCTCTCTCAAGTTTAAACTGCAAATCCATACCACTACCAAAAACACAACTGTAATAAACCACGTTGCTAAAATGAATAGGTTACGACAATAAATATTTAGTAACAATAAAATGTTCTTACCTTTTAATATCGTTCATATGTTGGGCGTTTGATTTATACGAACGTTTTTTACTCTTCGTAACAAGTTTCCCTTTATGTACCATATTTACAAATGATAATTATTAAGAAGGTACCTTGCTACGCAATTTTAACTTAAATATTTTATATCGACATATACACGGAAGAAGAATATTCATGAAAAGAAACATATTTATAGAACAATGAATTTAAAAATAAAATTATACAAATACATTAAACAACCTTTAAGTAAATACTCGTACTGCGGCAAAAAGAGCGACGTTGCTAAAATTAATAGGTTTATTGTTACAGAAATAAATATTTAGTAAAAATAAAATGTTCTTACCTTTTAATATCGTTCATATGTTGGGCGTTTGATTTAATATGAACGTTTTTTACTATTCGTATCAGGTTTCCCTTTATGTACCATAGGTATTTACAAATGATAATTATTAAGAAGGTACCTTACTACACAATTTTAACTTAAATATTTTATATCGACATATACACGGAAGAAGAATATTCATGAAAAGAAACATATTTATAGAACAATGAATTTAAAAATAAAATTATACAAATACATTAAACAACCGTTAAGTAAATACTGTGGCAAAAAGAGCAACACATCTTTATAGCATTAGGCCTTGGCCGGCAGTGTCTGTACACAGCCGTTTAAGCACACATCCGTACGTATTATTTCAGAAATAAGAATATGCGATTTGAAAAGAATAAATTAATTGGATGAAAAAATTAAAACACTATTAGGTTAATATGTTGCTTATATAATAATCTGACAAAAATCCGATGATTGCATCTATATAAGTATGGTTTTTGTATGAAAAATATTGTATTAAATCGACAGCTCAACCCGCTAGATGTAGATACGTAAAATTGGAACAATAACTCCCTTTTATTAAGTAGGCATCCACTAAGAAAGAAGTCTGGAAAAATTAAAATTCTTAGATAGTAAAATAAGTTTTTAAGAATGTTTTTTTACGGGGTGATTTCATATTGGTATAGGGAAAAATTATTAAATGATTATTGTAACTTTAAAATTGGTACGAATACTTTAGGATTAAAGTAATGCAATTAGTTTTTTTTTTCATTTTTTTAATATCTTACATAAAATTGTTAAAACCAGGATACATGGTTTGCACGAAAAAAAAATGGTTTTCAGTTGCATGGTGGTTTGAAAATCCGTAAAACGAAATTATGATAATTATGAATATTGTTCCGAGTTAGTAATCCGACCAAAGCATAGTGAGATGAGATA